GCAGCAAAAACGCTGCATAAGGAGCTTCACTTTTACGTGCAAACAGATTTACGTTCTTTGGCTGATGTGTTGAACAATTTCCAACACTTTTTTGATTGTTTTGTGCACCCTATGCTATTGAGATTACAAAATCCCAATCATGGTGAATTATGTACATCCACACGTGTTTTAAGCAACCCTGCGCAAAACGAGGTGAGTAAACTAAAAATGTAAACAAACAAAATTATATGAAAGTTTGGAGCATTGCAAGAATCCTTGGCCACTAAATATTAAAAAAAAAAACAGAAATTTGGATCATCAAAAGAATATATAAAATGTCTCTTAGGCTATTAAAGCAAAGCTTGGATATAATAGATGAGACACCATGTATTGATAAAAAAGGTAAATATGTATGTTCAAACCAAGATAACGTAATCAACAAAATGCACAAGTAGAGTGCAACCGATTCCCAATTTTTGGCCGATGCCGATGCCAGTTAATCGGTCTTAGCGCAAAGAATCGGCCAGGTGAAGGGCAATACCTTACCAGCAACTTAGACTTCACCCGGCGGTCCTTACCACTTCAAAGACGTGGCCGCCTTATGTAAGTAGGAATTTAGAATGTACGTTTGGTATCAGGCATACTTCTGAGCCGCTTTACAAAGTAAGTTACGTGTAATGAAGAGCAGTCGCTCGGAGTAGTTCGGTGCTTGGAAATAACTTCGGCTGCACGTTATTTTGCAACTGACAACGTAATGTGTCTTCGGAGGTGTTCATTTTGCGCTTTACTAGTAGATGACATTCGCCATGATGACAATTTTGGTACTAAAAACTGAAAGAAAACATGGCATACCTCGTAAGGTGCTTACCTACTTTCCCAGTGGGTATACTTGTAAACTACTACATAGAATGAAGTGCCATATCATAACAGGGGCGGTTCAGAGAATTAAACAAACAAATCAAAATGTTACGGTCTCATGTTTCCTTCAAACTGCAGTTAACTTAAACGAATTTTGTTCAAAATTAAATTTTGATGCATAAACGCTATTAGACTGTCTTTGCACCTGTGCGGAGTTGACTTGACAACTTTAAGAACGCATGGACGGGCCATAATTCGAAATTTTTTACAGCGAATTTAATGTGTATTTACTGCTATCACTGCTAAAAGTGTAAAAAAATTCTCGCCATACACCCTAAAGTCCGAACATACGCCACAAAAAAAAAAAAATTAAATGACCAATTTCTCATTTGCGGGGCGCTTCGGAATAGAAGCATCAAACTTTGCGCCTATTTTCTTATTCTGAATCGGCATTTCGACGAAAATTTGCTTTCATTTTAATTTCAGATTTTTGTTCATCCCCTAGAGTATTTCTGCTTCAAGAAGTAGGTTTTAAAAAAAATCCTAANGCTGCACGGGCGGACTATGGGTTGCCGTGGAGGCTGCTCTATTTGAGCAACAGGGGGCCACGTACGACGTGGTCCACTGTCTGTGTGTCCGTAGTCCCGAGCAGACCCTGAGGTGACTCCACCCCTCGCAGGCATTACACTTGACTGAGGTGGAGTTGTGGTGTAAACGTCTTCGGCATACACAGCAGGTGTATATTTCTGGCCCAGGGTTTGACTCGATGCCAGCCCTGAGTAGGAGAATGCGTAGTGAATGTTGCCCTATGGACGGACAACTTCTGAGATACTTCGCCGACCTAAACGGGGTTAGATCGCCGAAACAAAAGAAATCGTCGTAAGACACAATTTATTTACACATGAAGCTGTGTGGCATATGATAGTTGACCGAATCCAATAAAGCACACCATTCGTTTCTGTTCTGGGCTTATTGACGCCAACTGGAAATGCCAACTGATGCCAAGTCCTTTTGTAAGCGGTACCTTTATCCTCTGCCACCACAGTGGTTGCAGTGTTTCTCATAGATAAATATACAAATATTGTATTTTTTGTTAATTTTTCATGTGAATTATTTTTCAATAAGAATTTGTTAAACCGCTCCTGAATTTTGAAAAGTAAAAATGTCAGTTTGAGTACATTCTCTTATCGGATCTCTCCTTCTTTTTTGAATATATCGACACTCTGATGTTGGGGAATGTACTTTGAATTTACTAGCAATATAGAAGTTCTACATATATGGTATAGCCTCATGATTCAATAACACAAGGTTATGTAATTTATGACAGCTAAAATTTGACACTCCTTTATATAGATTTGTGTTTTGGAAGTAGGAGAAAGGGGAAGAATGCGATCGCCTTTTGCGAAAATGTTAGTAGAAAGGTACTAAGAAAGTGCGCAAAGTATACATTTAGAAGTAAAATGTGTATTATTAATTATATGTGAATTTGCAATATATTTGGCGTTTTAATAGAAATACTAAGCAATACGTAAAAATATAGATTTTTAGTTTAAGTTATTCGTCATGTCCTGGAACAAATCTAGAATACCGACCGTTCAGCTATGCAAAAACAATAAATGCAGATCAATAGAACTGTTACGCTCATTTCAACCATGCCAAAATTATTTAGCGCAAGTAAAATATAAAGACGTTTTAGAAGGTTACAATTAAATTCTTTGATTTTTTTTTAATATTAATATCTTATGAACCACATAACCGATTAAAAAACTAATAACATCACAATAAATATAATATATAATTGAAATTGGTTTTTATATATTTAAACCAAAACTACTAAAAAACGAACATATGTTATTTCTTCACGAAATAACCTTTTTTGAAAAAAACTGCATGATTAATAATAAAGAATAATAAAGAAATTTATATTATTTAGAAAGTACAAGCTATTGTTTTTAATTCGATATACATATTTTATCATGATTTACTTGTGGGTTTTATGAATTAAGTGATAATAAAAAATAAGTAAACAAAGCAAATAAACCTCTTTATCTTCTTTGTTTTTTACCTTCGCCAAATAAATTTGGTATCGTTGAAATCAGCGTAAAAAGTTCCATCAATCAGTACTTTTGGTTATTTTATAGCTAAACGGTCGCTATTCTAGACTTGCTCCAGAAATTTACGCATACGAAGGTGATGACAACGCATATGAACTGACGGACGAAGTCCAGAGGTTCATTAAGCAACCTCTGGACCCGACAGCGTACAGACAGGCCCTGAACGGCATTCACAGGGACTCAGTCTCGAGTTATGTAGACTCTAGACCTGTGAATGCCGTTCTAGGCATACCACCCCCGGACATTGACGAGACAGAGCTTCATCTGCCTCGGGAGACACGCACTACACTTGCTCAACTTCGCTCCGGCTACTGCAGCAGGTTAAACTCCTACCTGAGTAGGCTGAATGAGGATGTGCCGAACGAATGTCCGGCATGCGGAGAGACCCCACATGACTCGAACCATCTCTTCGCATGCCCGGAAAACCCGACAACCCTAACGGCCCTGTCCCTGTGGACAGATCCCACAGAAGCTGCACGCTTCCTAGGGTTGCCGTTAGTGGAACTTGACGATAACGACTGAGATACCAACCGATCTGGGCGGGGTTGTTGTAGCCGCTACAACAACAACAACAACAACGCATATTTAGTATGACGAAATTTTGGTTTTACTACTAATATAACTAGAAANATTCGATATACATATTTTATCATGATTTACTTGTGGGTTTTATGAATTAAGTGATAATAAAAAATAAGTAAACAAAGCAAATAAACCTCTTTATCTTCTTTGTTTTTTACCTTCGCCAAATAAATTTGGTATCGTTGAAATCAGCGTAAAAAGTTCCATCAATCAGTACTTTTGGTTATTTTATAGCTAAACGGTCGCTATTCTAGACTTGCTCCAGAAATTTACGCATACGAAGGTGATGACAACGNACCTTTCTATTATTGAATCATGGTATAGGCTTATATATACGATACGATACGATGTTTATTATATAATTCAAAAAACTGCGTACCTAAAAAAAGAAGGCTAAAAAATCGGATTAAACAGTTTCAAATTTTGATGAACATTTGTTAAAATTGCGAAAAAAGTAAAAAGAATCCGCCAAAAACGCTGATTAATCGGTCGGACTCTACTAGTAATGCAGAAACTAACAACAAAGTACATGAGAATACTTCAATAAAATTTAAAACAAATTTCTTGCAGCTACACAAAATAAAGCAAAACCTCTGTCCAAAATAGGAAGTGTAAGCAGTTCACATAAAAACGAAGCGAGAAATCATAAAAATCTGGCATTCAAAACCGCAAGCAAGAAGGACAAAAAGAATATAGAAGATCTACGCAAGGAGTTTTTGCCTGACCAGAATAAAACGAATTTAAACCTTAAACGCTTACTGGCATTGTCACAAAATTCAATAGATGCTAATGTAGCTAAAAAGGTGTTTTAAGCATATCGTATTAATAATCAAATATTTTTACCCTTTACCATTAATTCAATTTCAGATCATTCAGCGAAGTAAAAAAGGAACCGCGGTGAAGATGCCGAAGAAAAAGAAAGTACAGGAATCTATCTTTACAGAGGAGGACTTTTTGGCTTTTGAAAAAGAATATTTTGCTGACAACAGTCATTAAATATATCTACATATGTAAACATTTGTTTAGCCCTGCATGGTCGAATCGACAAGGCATTACTTATGTGAAATGCAATTTTCGTGTATAATTTGACCTAAAATTGTAAATATAGAATTACGAATCTATATGATCTTCCCACAAATTTTATTAAAATAAAATGAAAGTTGAATGCCATTGATTTGTAATAAAGTAATTTTTTAAGTAAGTTTTGTAAATACTCTGGAAAGACAAACATTTTACTTAGGACCTTCCTATATGAAGGCAACGATATGTACATACATATGTATGTATAAATATATGCATGCAAAAGTAGATACATACATATGTTCATCTACTCTTTAAGAAGACCGCTACACTCGAATTTCTTGAAAGTCAAGAATAATACTCATAGATATTTGACATGTGTCACTATCATGGACATGCGCTTTGCATAACTTGGGGTTGAATATCAAACCAGCGCCCACACTTGCAATGTGTCATTTAATACATATCCCTGAAAAAGCACGACATTATTGGGCGATAGTCGGACTGTTTGCCACTTGGCTCGCCGATGAAAAACGAAAGTAAAAATCAGTTTGTTCGCAACGGAGTTGAGTTGTTAAATATACTAGTAATTCAGTTATAAAACTTAGCGAATAGTATGTGATTACTAAATTATGAGCTCAAACGATTGCATTGCAAAAATTGTGCATACAAAGCATTAAATAAAAGTGATGAACCAGGTATAAAGCCAACGGTATGTGAAACAAAGGCATTTGAAAACTTATAACATGAATGAGTCAATGAAAACTATCATCCTGCAAAGTCCTGTTTATTGATTTTTTGCTGACATGATTTCAAATTTTACTTTGATGTATGAAAAAATTAAAAATTGCGTTTTACGCCAATTTTTCAAGTAGTTAATACTTTTCCATTAAAAAGCTGGTGATTTTATTAGCCTTGAGGTCGTAAAATAAAAGTTTTGATTGTTAAATGTGCGCTTCCTTAAGGAGTGTTTTACGTAAAGTTTGCTAACTATACAAACGTTCATACCTATGTAAGTTACTGTTGAAATATAGAAAAGATGCGTTTATGCAGGTAATCAAGACTCATATAGAATCAATTTATTTTATGTAAAAATGTTTTACCTTTTAGTCAGTGGAGCTAGCAAACGATTGAAGACTTCTGCTGGTAAAATCGATTTGCATATACGAAAAAATGCAGGTGCATCTTATGTATATATGTATGTACTACGGAATTCAATCCCGAAGCATTTTAGCAATCCCGGGATTTCGGGATGCAAAAATTCTAATCCCGGGATCTCGGGATTTTTCAGGATTTCGACTTTATCACAACTTTTGCATTTAACAGTAGGTTCGCCTATTTTGTCTTACAGTGAGGATAACGCACCTTAGTAAAAGAGTCCGTAATTTAATGTCTAACTATTTTTATAGTATTCTTAAATATCTATGTTAATTGTAAAAAGCCCTTACTAATATCTTCAGAAATTCATTTTCCACAAAACTGTTTGAAAAGTACAGTTATTCACTTAGAATCAAAATTTTGGTGTTCTGTATATCTCGTTTTTCATGTCAAATGAAATAATTTTTTCGTTTTCAACATCTCTTTTATTCCGTAAATGACTCAGTAAAAATCTTGGGATCCCGGAGCTAAAATTTCAGGACATGAAAAAGTGTGCGGGATCCCGGGTTTGAATGCCCTAGTATGTACATATGTATTAGAGGGCTGCATGAATCCATTCTAAACGGCAAATGAATCATTCATATTGAAATTAAATGAATGTGATTGGGTTTGAATTTTATCGAATTTAAATGAATAGCTGTGCTGATATGATTGTCGACATTACAATATTCAAACGATGTGAAAACAAATTGAGTGAATATGATGGATTTTTTTTTATTTTTATAAATCTAAATACCTACATTTCCTTGTATTTATTGAACTTTTCTTATACATATTTTGTACTTGTATGCGCCATAAAAGAGAGTCATTAGATAAGAATCGAATTGGTTTCAACATATAGTATATTTATATTTCTATATTTGAATGCAGAAACATTATTTTATTTACATTGTCTGGGTTAAGAGCAATAGTACAACGTTTTTCGGTTATTAAATTTCTACTTGAGCCATGGCGCTGCCTTCATGATTGATTTCGATAAAATCTGCGAACGCATTATCTTCCAAGATGTCGTTGCTTTGTATATTTCCATCAGATCCATGCCCAATAAAGCTAGTCATTATTTCCTTACAATTTCTGATAATTTGTAGTTTTTCATCCAAAGAAAATTGTAGTAGTTTATTTGTTGGCGGAAAAAAATGGGCAATTTTGTGGTATTTTGTAAAATGTGGGAAAACTGTTGCCAAAATTTCACTGAGGAGAACCGATTTTACTTGAGTTATAAATTCGATATCATTTTCACCAGCAGAACAGGACTTTTTTAATTTGCTTACATATGGAATTATCAAATGTATTGTGGGCAATTTACTCCCTTCAAGCTTTTTAGAAGCATAATCAAATGGCTCTAAAAGTCCAGCGACGCAACTGAAATGGTTCACATTGAGGTTTTCTATTCTGCTTGTTTGTTTTTTCTCTTTCAGAATATTTGCTATGTCGAACCAATTTTCCTCTATTGATTTAACTAGATAACTCTTCGCCAGAGTTATTTTTAACATTGGAAAATATCTCCCAAACTTTGCTACGACCTCTTTTTTGACTCAGAGTGTATTCTCCACTGTGAGCTTCTTCTTGATGCCGGCACTTTGCAATAATGTGCTTGCGGAGTCCTGTTATTATAAACATATACCATTATCATTATTAAATGGACCGATTCACTATACATACATACGTACATCATTTTAAGCTAAACGTACTTACATTTTCCTCTACACTTTCCATTCTTTTTTTCGTTTTCGATCCTAAACACAAAATATCATATAAATTGTAATAAATTTGAGTCTGAATAAATTTAAGGTTTTTCATTCATTCATTTATATAATTCTATATGAAGTTAGAAAACTTTAAACGCAATGAATATTCATAAAATACAAAATTCAAAACGCTGGGTGTTTTGAACTTGAAATAGAATACACAATTCTACTGTACTCTCTTTGGCTTGAAATTAGAATCGACTCATGCAGAGGTCTAATATGTAGGTACATCTACGCATGTGTGCTCCATAAAAATATCAATTTGCTTTAGTTTTAAATACTATGTATTTATAAAGCAAGCACAAACAATTCAAATTAAAGCTTAGAATCCAGCTCTCAGAATCCCAGCACTTTGAGCTGCAAACTGATTTAAGAAATTTTGATAGAAGAAAATTTCTTTTCCATTCCAACCTCGCCTTATTTTGACCAGTTTTGGCTATAATTCTTCTGTGTATTTAGTGTTTAATATTTTTTATAATAGTCTAGCTGGTTCTACAACAAACACTACATACATAAATCCACATTTCAAACTTTGTACAAAAATTATTAAATTATTTTTTTTGTTGACGGTGCTGGGCATTTCTTCCATATAAAAAAATGTTCAAACATAATTTGTATGCGGAAAATTGCGTGACCACGGTTACCACTGTTGGTTATTTCCAACCAAACTTGGTTGCTTTTCTTTTATTTTTTCGAATTTGGTTGTTTGGTAGTTTTTTCTCTGATTGTTTTTTTTTTTAAATTAGAAATTAGAAAAATGTTTCCTTACAAAAAGTCCAGACTCGACCCCTATATTCCCAATGAGTGTCTGGCATGTGGAGACTTCCCGCACGGCACCAACCACCTCTTGATATGCCAGCCCAACCGCACTCGACTAGCTCTCCTCTCCCTTTGGTCAGACCCTGCTGTAACTGCCCGTTTCTTGGGCCTACCGCTAGTTTAGCTCGACGACAATGATGGATGGATAAACCGAAATAGGCGGGGCTTAGTAGTGCCGCTACAACAAACATAACAACAAAACGCCCTATCTCGGCAAACGGTTGAAAAACGCCCTATTACCGAATTTGATTGAAGAACGCCCTATCTCCCTATCCCTATCCCTATCTCCTAACTCAGCTGCCGATACATACCCAGCCAGCAGAGAAACGTACTTTTTGCCGAAAGTGCAGTTTTCGTACATTTTTCGTATCCGGAAACGTTCAGAAAACGATTTCCATATTTGTAAATTTGTTCGTATCCGAAAAATGTCATCGTCTCATTTCAAAACAATAATTTTAAAATATTTGTTCAAACTGAGCATTTGAAAACATGCATATGTATTCATCAGTAGCTGAGTGAGCAGAGAAGTGTGCTACTATTTTTGAGATTTCAGGAGGTCCCAGGTTCGAATTCCATCAGAGGCAACACATTAAAATTATTTATTCAAATTGAAATAATTGCTGAATCTTAAAATTGTTTTTTGTTTGGTTTCCAGTAACTATGAAAAAGTTTCTGTGAAGTTCATAATGAAATCGTTTTCAACGAAAAATTGAATGAGAAAAATTTTGGGAAAACAGCCGAAAGCGCATCCGTTTACAACCATTTTCGATAGTTTCTGCACACACGTTTCGGATGAACACTTTAGTGGGAGAATTGATCTGAAAAACGTCCGAAAACGGAATCGGAAAACGGATGAAGCATCAGGGTTTTGTTCGAAATTGTTTCCATTTTCGGATACGTTTCCGGATATTTTGTTGGCTGGGTAAGTATATTGAATTTATAGTGCGATAGGGCGTATTTGAAGCGGCGGCTGAGGTAGGATGTTTATGAACGGAATTCTGAGATAGGGCGTTCTTCAGCCGAATTCTGAAATGGACCAGCCGGGATAAGACGATCTTCCTCTCAGACGATGATTTTCTTTGAATATTCGTAAAGAAATCATTAGAGAATATGGACCACACTTCCGATACTCCTAAGGATTTCGTAAAGATTTTGGGAGGTTTGGGTTGCAAGGAGCATATGTATGTATTTATATATTTACTATACTATAATAATAATAATAATAATATCCGCATGGCATTAAAATGCCCAAATTTGAATTTATCTGAAAATCTAAAAAATATTCCAAATGCTAGTCAATGCTACTTTCTAATATGATGTCAAAGAGAAATGCGATGCGGCATAAAACATACGGCGTATTCGCCTTTCGCATCGCATTACTTTTTCGCATCGCATTACAGAGTAGCCCACTGTAATAATAGTTGCGATCCCGTACGAGTCCGGACTAGTCAGAAATAGTCAGAATCAGTCAGATTTTACTGGAAATCGATCCCGTACTCGGTTCTCTGACTATTGAGAGGACAAAAAAGAGAGTAAATACGGTTCTCTCTCTGTCAGAAGTTACCAGTTTTAGTCCGAGAATTTTTTGCTAGTAAATTCTGGTAAATGTGTCAAACGAACAGCTGTGGTGTTTGGCAATCAAATTGTAAACAAAAGAAAAGTGCACTCTGCTAATTCATGTTGAAAAGTATTTAATTACTTGTTTAAGTGGATTCTAATGAATTTGAAAGTATTTTTGGTTATTTAAATGTGTGAGCTGAGTATTTTAATATACAAAATAAGCCAAAAATTTACAACCAAAATTTGGAGGTTATGTTGAAGTTGACAGAAGTTACCATTTTTTACTAGAAAGTGATCCCGTACTTTTCAGTGTGTTTCCGGATTGTGTTTTTATGAGAAGGCGTTTTTCATGGCAGAATACACTCGGAGGTTTGCCATTGCCTGCCGCGGAGTGACTGTTATTAGAGAAGACTTTTTTGCGGAATGGTAGCGCGCATTGCACAGTAGCGATCGTTATGTTATATTTTTTTTTTAATTAAAGTAGTGACTAGAGTCCGACCGATTCTCAATTTTCGGCCTTAGGGCGAATGCCGATTCCTTAAAAAAACACCTCAACATAAGTAAATTTATTCAAGAAAAAATGTTTTTAATAAACTTTTATAATAACAAAAGAAAAACATAAACAAATAACATTACAAACAAATAACATTACAAAAAAAAAAAGTCATTCAAGAACCTATTCACTTATTAATGTACATACATAAATATGTATTAAAAGTAGTATATCGCCTATGCATACATATCATTCCAATACTTTGTTCCAGTCTTTTTCATATTTAATGTTAAAAAAATGGTTCATTCGAAATCATATTTCTTAGTTGTATTCATAGTAGTTAAAATATGCAGCTTCTGCTGACTATAAAAGTGTTGTATTGAATACAATTTGTTAATAAACAGTAACCGTAGGTTTTTAATGATAAAAGTAGTGTTGGGAAGTATCGAGTACTTTTCTTTTTTCTTTAAATATAAACATGCTGGTAACATTTCAATGCTTAGTGTAGAAATCTCACAAGCAGAAAGCACTTTATTCAATCTAACTAATATGTATGTATGTTAATCCCAAACTACGTCAAATAAATAGATAGCCGTACTGGATACAAGTATTGTATTTGAAAATTATTGAAACTTGAAATTGAGTACAATCACTTCTGAAGAGAACTCAGTACGATGTATCATGGAACTCAGTACTTTTAAGTATCTATTCGACACTGAGTACTTTGAATCGATCCTGAGTACATGTATCAAGATGGTGATTGGAACAGAGTACTGAGTACTTTCGACTTCTTTTGTGAGTACTAAGTACTTTTGAATACTCAGTATCGATACTATTAAAAATCGGGTACTGCCGATTCTTTTGAGAATCGAGTTCTGAGGACTTTTGGTATCGATATTGCCCAACACTTTTTCACAATCCTGTTGGGACCTTTTGCGGGGAATGGAAGTTGAGGTCGCTGCCTTCCTAGCTAAGGCTGCAGCTATCTCTTTCTCTTCTATTTCCTTGTGACATGGTACTCAAAGTATGGAGTTGAATGTCATTGTATTCAACAAGGATGTGAATTCTATCAAAGACCTCAAACTTAGCATCAAAGCATAAGAGAGCCTAAGCTTAGATCTTCGCTTGAAAAATGCTCGGGAGCTTCCTCATAAGCACAGCTAGTTTCGTCTTGGGGCCATATGTAGGTACTTGCCCCAATGTCTTCTTGGGTTTTAGATTCCAACTATGTACCACTGCAGAGAGTTGGCTTGGACACGTCCCTTTACATATCATATATTTATTCCGAGTTGCTTTGCTGCGGAGCCCTTTTTCAAATTTTTTTTCGAAAACAGTTATCGTGTTCACATCATCTCCCGGGGAAAATGCTAGTGGTAGCAGCAATCCTAGATTTTCCATGATCCTGTACATTTTTGTTGTGAGGAAAGAATTTGAAATACCTTCGCACCATCTTGGAACCGTCCCTTCTACGTCAGTGGTGTAGCCACTAAAACAATCCCTCCTCCTACCCTGGAAACTTCGCTACCCTGAGACCACTTTCGCATTACTTCAAGATAGAGAATCCAGGATGGAACTGAATTGGTCAGTATCAACTCTCCTTGCGTTCAGGGCCGCCATGTATGAAGCCAGCATCTAGCTTTTGGCTCGTCTTCTCTTCGTAAAGGGCTCAGCCGGTTGCTACGGTTTGCTAGTTTGTCGCTCATTTATACGGTTACATTTCCCGCTTTTTCGACATATGGATACTTCCGACGTATTTTGCGATATCTTTCCAATTTTCTTCGCAACCTATAATTTTTACGATGATGTTGTCGGCGGATATTTTCCCCACTCTTCGTTCTTATGCATCCCGTTCTGACTTCCACCTTTGACATTTGAAGAACGTGTGTACTGCGTCATCTAGCCCGGCGTCGTATGCGTATCCACATTCCCCATTCTATGCAAATATTTACGAAAGTATCCTTACATAGATATGATAAATTAAGTAATTTTCTATGCCTGGCGCTTGGTCTATGGTTGTATATGGTGGCTAAAGCTCGAGATTTAACTGCAGTGCTGTCCTGATTCATATACCGACTGAACTTTGAAGTTTGGTGAGACACCGTGGCCAAAATAGTTCTCGCCAACGATTGACACGTCATTACTAGTCCTACTACAATGGTGTACATCCATCTCGGGATCTTTGGTCTAAAGACTTCCACATAAATTTGGAGTTCATCATTAGACCAAATAATTGACCTCATTAAAAGTTAAATACCTCATACCTCTGGAGCATAGATCTGTAATGGGAATATGCAGTGGTGGTTTTGTAGAACTGACTAGACTGGACATTTCTTCGCCCCATCCTTCGCTATCGTATTTAACTGCTACACCCGAATTCCATTCTTTGCGTTTTGCTTATCAGAAACAGACTTTGCCTTAGTGAAATCGCATAACGATTGAATGTAAACTGTACTCGATTATTCAGAACATGGTGTGGTTATTTTATTCTACCTTATTCAGCATCTTAAGTCTACTTACGGTTATACTATACAGTATATATTTGTATATAGAATAAAGTAATAAAAGTGTATTATCTCATTTTATTTACAGATCGCGATCGTTATGCGAGTCCCCGACATTACGTTAACAGCTGGAAATGCTGCGAAATTTACGCACAACCGCAACAAACTTAACGATCCAAATACTGATCAACAACAGACACTGACATCTACAACAGAAAAATCCCTAAGCCCCATACAATCGCAACGAGGCGAGTTGAATAAGAATGCTAACTGGACAGCAAGTCAACTAAATAACACTACCACCAACACCACTGGCCTCTGCGATTATTTACCAAGTGCCCAGCATTTCAATACGCCCTCGGTTTACACTTCTTCAGCTGACGAGTTCGTACAAAGAGCACTGAGTTCCTCCCTGGCCGTACCATACGAATATAATAACTCTTCGTTAGCTACTTCTGGATTTGAAGAGTATTTCCAGCGGAGCACACAGAATGCAACACAAAATTATTTAGATGGCTTCGGTAGCAATAGCAATAGTGCCTATGGAGGGTTTCAGGAGGTTTATGTAAATCGCGCGGCAATCGCTTTGGACGACTACGAAAATAATACAACAAATGTTGGTTTTCCAATATACTTAATACCTACAATATTTATTTACTTATAAAATTATTGCTTATTCTTTTAGCGTTCAACAAAATCGGGTAACTTTGTAGGTGTTAATAATTCTGGCGAGCAACACTACGATAGTTATAGCCTTCGTGCCTCAAGAGGTGTGAGACCTGCTGGATGCCAATTTGACTATAACAACGATATGAAAAAGGAAGTAAGCAATACTATTTTTGAGCAGAACTCGAATCATCAGCAATCATCAAAGACTCAAGTCGTAAAAGGCGAATATTTAGGAGATGCAAAAGATATAGATTTCGACTACAATGATCAATCTATGCTGGATCTATGTCATGATCGTAGCCATAAATCGACCGTAGAGCAGCATAATGATGAATTAGGTGAGTTGGTATTAGTCTTCCATGGATTTATAAGATTTATACAAGATCTGTTTGTCTGCGGGACTCACATCAATTTTCTAGAATTTCGTTGTGGAAAATTTAATGAATAATCTATTGAAAATTGTTCCCTAAATCTTACCAGAGTATGATAAGTGTAGTATGGGTTTGGGAATAAGAATTTTTTTCGTAATATTTACGGTTAACGACGGAGGTGGTGTTCCTATTATAAGCTGTTAAAATTCCCTTCTATCTTTGCAACACCACCGATGGTACTCGAGAACAAGTTCTCCACTCGTAGCCTTCGAGGAAGGACTGGGAGGACGACTCGGTTTGGGGCCTCCAAGATAACTCCACAGCCATCTACATAGATGGCTCTAAACTAAATCCAAAAGTAGGGTGTGGGATACAGTCGACGGATCTCTCATTAGACCTCTGAACTCGCGGCTATAAAAGAGGCTGAACTCTGGCTTATCGAATCTTCTCTTAACCTGATTTCAGTAACTATATACTAGAGCTCTAGATACCCGGGTATCAAGCAATGCGAGTAGCTCGATACTCGCTCGAAACTCGTTCATTGCTAAACTGCTCAAATATTTGTTCAAAATTTTCGAGTTTTTGAACGATTTCATAAACAAAAGAAAATTTGTAAATTGTATTTGTCAGCAGCTGCTTTCTAATTCAGGTTAAATAAATTATATTATTAAATACCAATGTAACAATCTTTGCATTATATATCAATAATTTGAAAAATTTAAAAAGTTGCTACCAAAAATGTCAATATAATAAAAAAACATTGCTCAAATTACTCGAAAAAATTCGAATTGCTCGAGCTCATGCTCGAAAATTTTCGAGTAATGAGCATTGAACAAGTGTGCGAGTACTCGCTGCTCATA